ATTCACTAGCAGTGTTATCTCCGGCAGTAATTCACGGGTGTAATAAATGTCCTGGTAATTTATTTGAACCTCCTCGTCTCTCAACTCCTCTGCCTCAACCCATGATTTATTACCCACCGGATTACCCCCCTGTGCTAGTCATGCCTGGTACCCCCCGTGCACAGCCTGATTAGTGTTTGAGTTATTTCTGCAATTCTTAGCTATATGTCCTGATTGTCCACAGGACCAGCAGACAATTGAGCTTTGAGCGTTAGGATATTGAGTCTGACCGCCAATTTGATTCGGACTACCAAATTGATTTTGAGTACCAAATTGATTTTGATTGCCAAATTGGCTTTGATTACCAAATTGGTTTTGATAACGGCGTCTGCCTTTCCCTCTATTTTGGAAACCCCCTTTGCCTCTTTTATTACGTGCACCTCCTTGGTAGAGAATGGTGCCGTCCTCCTGGAGGAACATTTTTACTTCTTTATCTCTTTTTTTGTTCTTCTCTACGACAACTTTCTCTGCATGAATGGCATGATTGACATACTCGTCTAACGTGGAACTAGCCATGCCATAGAAGTGTTTATCCAACCACTGTCTAATACCCTCAGTTACACCTGCGTGTAATGCATTTTTCAGCTGTTGTTGATACGGACCCTGCGCATCATCACTTTCTACTAATCCTGAGTGTGTTTTAAACACTTTGGTCATTCTGAGTTTGAAATCCTCAACTTTTTCATCATCTTTTTGTTTAGTTCTGGAAATTTCACCATAATTAGCCATTTTCTTGTATCTGGCTTTAGTTCTGTCTGCCAGGGCTTGTACTCTCATAGTTAAGTCTTGAGCATCAGGTGGGAGGGGTTTCCCATCAGTTCCGGAGGGATCCCAGTCACCTCTGACGTGACCCCAATTGGAGCCCAGCGCAGCCATCCAGGCCTGCTGTGTCTCATGACCATTTAATTTGTAGGAGTCTCTGAGAGCCTCCATTTCAACACAGAACTGATTTACATCGTCTTTGTAAGGAGTAATGCCTTCAACGGCCTTCTTTACATCGTCAACTGTCCAAGTTCTGTATACAAATATAATGTCACCCTGGTCTACGTCACCTGCTCTAGGGTTGGCCACCGCTATCAAAGGGCAGAGGGTGGCCTTAGCTGTCTCTGTCTGGCCTTGCGATGTGGAGGCCTCTGGTGCGGGTGCTGTGGGACGCGTTGCTCTAAACCACCCCCCATAGTTTTAGACCACTGATATTGTGTCGTCGTCGCGCTGCGAGTGGCGACCCCTGTCTGTACAGATAAAAACGGTTCTAGGTCAGGGTATATTGTGTCTGCAGTGTCGGGGTCGTAAGGCGGAGGAGACGCAGCACGGGACACAGCACTTGCGGAAGGGCTGTCCTTCAGTGGAGTAGCCACATCATGTGGTAGTTGTTGTGGTTGAGGTGGGCGTCTAGTAGCACCAGCTGTCTCATAATCATCTTTGTTTTGGAAAAGCATGGCGTCTGCAGCTGGTGGTACTGCTTTATTTGCCTGCTTTCTTTTGAGACGGCTCTCTCTGAGTTTGGCTATATTTAACCAATTTTCTAACTCTCTAATGCCGTTTTTGCGCATCTTTCTTTCATTATGTTTGGATTTTTCAATAATCTGTGCGCGCAGTGCCTCAAGGTCGGCCACATTAAGTCGCCCCTCAAAGTTGTATTTTGTTATCCATTTATCTAAATATTTGACATTGCCCTTGTCATTATTTTCAAGAACTTTAAAATCCTTGCATTTCAGCCTATCTCTAGGTCTCTCAGTAGAAAGTTTATTACCCATATTAGAATAATTTGGACCAGTCCTATCACTCCTGGGGAGGTCTCTAAGAACTGGTTATCTTTTCGCGATTGAGATAGTGATCAAATTATCTTTGTGGTAATTCTCACTTCAACCCGTAAGGTGGAGAATTCTTGTCTTTACATCCACAAAGACTCACTATTTCCTCTCTCAATCGATTGGTATGAGGACAACAACCTAGTGGTTATTATCTTCCAGTCACACAACCATTCACACTCAGTTTTTTTATTATTTTCTTATTTTCTCGACGTCAACGGAATTTAACCCGGGAGGACTCCGGCGTCCTGTTTAAAACGGACTTTTACTCACTAGCCTGTCACTTACACCTAGTAGTGGGGCTCCGTCGCCCTTTTACCCATTAGAGCCTAGGATTTATGGGGTTTCTGTACGCGCAATGACCCCCAGTCACTCGCTTTTTAACAAAAGGCCTACTCACAGTCAGTTGTCTTTCTCCCTCGGTTCACCCGTCAACCTTCAGACTCCAACTGGCGAGAAGAGAACCAGCCCGGAAAGGGTATGTCACCTCGTAGCAGAGGGCCGTGGCCACGGTCTTTCTGGATTCTTAACGACCGCTGGAGTCCTCAGGTATTTTGTGGTGCCGGCTCGAAGGACCAAGTAAATGTTAGGTTTATCTAGACATTTAAAACAAGAAGAAAGACAAGAGATTAATTAAGTTTTTCTCATGAGGAGAACGGGCAGAGAGTGGCTTTCAGTGCAACAGTCTCCACACGTTCTGCCGACCCAAGGCCGTTCTCCTCCTTTTATTATCATTAGAGGGCCCTGGTTACAGACACATGATTCTCAAAGGGAAGGGGGATTTGCAATCACACACAGGCTTAAATCATAAAACATGATAAACAATCAGGGGGTGCCGTTGGTATGACCAGACACCGTCGTAACTCTTGCAAGTGTGACAGTGGGGGTTTGCTTCACGTGAGAGGTCATCTCGGGGTTCACAAGAACGATAGGTCACTGCACACAGGTGTTAAGCACAAGAGAGATTATTCACATTCCTAACAATTGATTGGTACACTCTAAATCAAAGAATCGTAGTACATAAATGGTTAACACATAGTCTAGATTAACACACAAGCATTTAGCAAATATGGGATAAAAGAATTATTCTAACAGTAACAACACGTGATATATACAACACATCAACACCGGGGACAGTGGCTTACAGACTCTTTTCATTCCACGTTTTGCCCAACCTTTTTAAATATGTAGTGCCATAAACGTAATCTAGTGCCATAAACGTTGAAAAGTAAATATAGAAGTGGAGACAGAGTGAATTAGTTTTTTGTTTGTTTTGTTTTGTTACTATTATTCAGTAACACTCACACTGCATGTAGCCCACAAAGTTAACATGACATGCGTTCTCTCGTGGCCTGTTGTTTTCAACAACACGGATGATGCACCTGTCTTGTTAACAGTCCTGGTTAGAGGCAGATCAAACGTCAAAGGTACTTCATCCATATTTATGATGTCGTCTGGTCTGATGGAGTTTTCTTGTATCTTTGTTTCAACGAATTTGTGGAAATTTTCAACTTTTTCCTGATAGTCAGCAGGGAGTTGCTGACAGAGAGTGGTCCGTGCCCTAATGGACAGGTTTTTACGTCTCATAACTCGGAAACACCATGACAGCTTTAAAATCTTCAAAATTCATTTCGCGGGCGATTGTTTTGGCTTTCAGTCGGATCTGTACAGTGGATACACCTTGGCCACCTGCTCTCT